TACATGAAAGTTATAGCGTTTACAATTGGCGGAAAAGATACTGGGATTTTTTTTTTTTTTTATACTAATAATGGCGGCGATCAGCGATTTATGGCGGCGATCAGTGACTTATGGCAGCAATCAGCAGCTTATGGCGGGAATGCGGCGGACATTCTGACATTGGGGGGTACTGACTTGGGGTCACTGACATCCCCAGTGACACCAATACAGTGATCAGTGCAAAAAAAAAAAAAAAAAAACACTGACACTGTACTAATGGCATTGGGGAGGAAGGGGTTAAGTTTATTTTTCAGGGAAAGGGTTAACTGTCTGAGGGGAGTGTTTTACTAGGGGGCGGGGGTGTGTACTGCAGGGAACACCGCTGATCGGGAGAGATCTGTCCCGATCAGCGTGTCCTGGAGCTGTCAGGGAACTGACAGAAAGCAAAGCTACTGCAGCTGTCAGCGATTGCTGCCGATCGCCGGGACATAGCCGGTAATGACCGGCTGTGACCGGGCGACTAACATCCTCGGCTGTGATTGGCGGCACTCCTCGCGCGGGCCCCCCTACCTGTTTACAATACACACGTTTTAAAACGTGCTTTTGCACAGCCGTGCCGCCGCCGCCGTATTTATACAGTGGCTGGGCGACATGTGGTTGAGAGAAATACAGCTACTTCTGAAAATGCTAGCTAACTAGCTGTTAGGCTGCTCCATATTACTTGAAAATCCAGATCCACATACTTCTTGTCTCAAAAACTAGTGAATTCAAGTGGATCATACAGCCAACCTGTACAAATCAATAACAAGCTGACTGATGCTGTGGCTGTACGGGTATTTGCACAAATCTCCTTATTTACATGCATATGGGGACTTGCGCAATGCCCAAAACACAGAGCCTCTGCATTTGCAGCAGTACATAGGTATGGTACGCAAGTAAACAATGAGATTTACACACATATCCATACAGCGACAGTCAGCTTGTCATTGATGTGTACAGGATAGCTATATGTGGCTGCATGATCCACCTGTCACTACCGGGCAATGAAATACACCTGACTCTAAGCTATATGGCCCTCTTGAGGCTGAGTGCAAGAGGCCTAAACCTTGAGTATTTCATGCGTCATTCAATCCAGAAATTGTATTAAAAGGTAAAGGGCATCCGTGCCTCATACAGCAAAAATACCTTATAATGATAGTGTTACACCTGTAATAAAAGTATTCAGGATATGAATTCCTTTTTTTTTAACTTAAAAAGCTTGTATATTCATATTTTATCTTCACATTTAAAAGAAGGCCAAGTTGTCCAAGAAGTGAAAGTTACAGGGGTTAGAGCAAACCAAATAGCACTGTTGGGGCTGCTTACAAGTTACCTTTTATTCACTGGTTTAAAGCTGTACTCCAAGAAAATAGCAATTAACAAAGCTCTGTAATAATTAATACATCAATAAATGCAAGCAGTGTTAAAGGATAAGTTCACCTTTTAGACAAAAATATTGAATGCAAATTTTTTACAGGTAAAAAAAAAATGTGCATTTATTATTTTTGTCCAAAGGAGCCTGGAAAGCATTACACTAGCATCAGTAGATCGCCGATGCCATGCAGGTCTCCTGCAGACCTGTCAGAATATCTGCTTGCCATACGGGAGCCCTGAGGAAGTCACGTGATTAACGTGACGTAACGCGTAGGCGTGGTGACGCACTTCCAGCGCGGACGCCATCTTGCTGCACGCAACTGAACATACCCATGCAGATACACCCATAACATGAGGTTCTAAATGCTTGTTTGCTAAGGATGACAATGTGAGTGCAAATGTGGATTACTTTGCTTAATATTGAGTTTAATAAAAGGTAATACACTATGGAAGGTTCTACCTATGTTTGAGATACTGGCTTATACCTTATTCGTATACCTGGAGAGGATTTCGCTACTTACACACACATCCCTGAGAGGGAGATCACTGCAGGGAGAGATATTCAGAAATAAAGGAATCATATACATGGAGGATCCGATTTAGTGATCCCAAAAGTGTTTTGACCCCCTGCGGGTCGAAGCAAGGAGGTGAACGACCAATCCGGCTACTTACGGGTACTCTTCTGTGGTTACCCACATTCACCATGCACGTGCACGAGTGTTATTTTGTTTACTTAAATATATGGTTCTGTAGCACCACATTTGGACATTTTTTCACATTTATACTTGTAGTTTTGAGTTATGCGTTTTTGCATGACATAGGTACACAGTTATATCCACTATTGTATTAATCATTGGTTGTTCGTTTGTGTATTGATTTGTGTATGGAAACACTATGTAGTGTTTGGGATTCAGATATATGATTTTGCATGTTTATGCACTTTTTTATGCATATTTATGGTTTCTTTAATTTGAGTCCAAACCATGGACAGGTCACTTATTAGTCCGCATTTGGACTAAATTTACATATTCTTGTTTGTTCACACCATCACTTTGGATCCTAATTTAGGATTTATGCACTTATACCATACGCATAGTATTGGTTTATAAAATTGTGCTATTACCATCATTGAGGTGGTGCAATACTCACTGTGTTCACTTCTGGATCCATTGAGGATCGGTTCACGATTATATATTTGAAAATCCCTGGAGGATCAGGTCACTGTTTATGTTTTGTTGCACATTGTGTCACGTTATGTATAAGTATTTTATATATATTATTTAAGTATTAGTTATATTATCATCAGAGTAGCGCTGCATCATTTCCTTTATCTCATTTATCGTTGATCATTTTGGTATATGATTGGATGTTAGCAGCCTCTCTCTCTCTCTATATATATATATATATATATATATATTTTGTTCAGTGTAGGTAGAAGTGCAGGAGGTTTACACCATAATTTCTCAAAAAAAAAAATTTGCATTTATTATTTTTGTCCACAGGAACCTGGAAAGCATTGCACCAGTGATCAGTAGATCGCTGATGCCATGCAGGTCTCCTGCAGACCTGTCAGAATATCTGCTTGCCATACGGGATGTACGAGCAAGCAGATATACTGACAGGAAGCTTCAATGAACTACCATGCCGCTCCACAGTTCATTGTAAACTAAAAGCTCACAGCCGCTTGCAGTTCATTCATTAACGGAAGTCCGTGAATGAATGATGCAGCTGTGTTGGTGGAGCCCCGCACAACAGCGCTGTTTTCAAATCTGACAGATAGTACGGGGAAAATTCTCCCCATATTATCTGTCAGAGGCAGGGGGGACAGCAGACAGTGGCTGCGGCTATGGGAACATGTTACATGTTCCACCCTGAAAATGGGTGGAACATGTAACATGTTGTCAAAGGTGAACTTATCCTTTAAATACCGAATCTGATCTGGTAGCAGCCTTTAGCAGCATCTGTCGAGCAGGGCTAGAGTATGAAAAGTAGTAGCAGCACAAGGAGCCAATCAGTTCATGTGCTGACAAGAAGCAAGCCAATATGAGTGACAGAGAGAGGAGCTCATCAAGTTGATGCTCCTCCTTTCACTGTCCAATCACAGGCTGAGGAGAGGCCAGGGCAACCTGGGTTTACAGGACATGGGATGAATGATGCTAGTCATCAGAAGAGAACATATAGTGGCAGAAAGAAGTACTGGAGGGGGATCTCTGGATTGAAGGTGAATATTGCAGCAAAAGCCGATTTTATTTTATCATCTCTTATGGGCGATTCATGATTATCTTTTTATTTTTGGGTGGAGTTCTGCTTTAAAAGGTGTTAGCTGTAGTTACGGTAGGCTTTTTTTTTTGTTTGTTGGTTACTTAAATTCTACTTAAAACTCCATGTCCATGCAAGACTAGAGTGACAACACTGCAGTGATTTCACTGTAGAACAAAGTGTTGTCACCCTCCTAGAGAAGTTTAATATCAATGGATCTACTGGTAGGATAAACAGGTAATAAAATGGTTATGGCAGAAGGAAGGCGGAACTTAGGAAAAACCAGTAAGGGTAATAGTATTTACTATTAAAAATATACATACTATTTACAGTCTCAGCAGCATATCTGTATTTTATGTTCTGCCCATTGTTCCATTTTAAGCAGCAAGATCTCCCTGTCATAGAACCTGTCTCCCACTTTGGCCTTTTCCAGTCGCTCTGTTGCAGTCACTATAACATACTGTATATAAAACATCCACTGGGGAGGAGGAATGGCTGCAGCAGTTGAGCAAACCTGGGAACTCAACTACCGACATTTCAACACTATAGTCCCTGAACGATATACAAAAACTGTCAGATGTTTTATAAAGCAGAATTGAAAAGGTAACCCCTGTTTCGTAAAAAAAAAAAAAGGAAATAAAGAAATAATAACAGAGTATATAACTGCTTCACAAGCCATATTGTAGCTGAATGCATTTTAAAATGACCGTTCTTTAATCTGCAGCCACTGTAATTTCTGTACCATGCAATGCAATATGGCAACCAACAGGCCTTTATATACACAGTTAGTGTACAGAACTTCTCAAGAAATGTCATTTCCTGCGTATGTGATTGGCTCACGGATTTTCCCACAAATCTGCACTAAGATACAAATCAGATTTTAGACATCCTCTGCAATAGCAATTATATTTTTGGTGAGATGCTCCTAACGGGTTAAAGCAGTATTAAACCCAAAAGCAAACATTTACTATATTGAAATGCAATTCAGATGTGATGGCTGCATTACTTTTCTTGTTCAGACTTTCTTTCCTTTATTTTCACCTGGTGATCCAGCCACTAACTCAACAGAATAAGTGGTCCTGCAGATGTAGCCGTTAGGGGTTGAGACAAACTATTTACCACTGACAGGGGTGCTTACAATGATCAGATTTAATGTATTTAGGTAAAACCTTTATCCCAAAAAAAACTGCTTAAAAGAAGTGTTAGCTGGAGTTTGGCTTCAATATTTTAATGTTTCTAAATACACTAGTACATCTAATACTCCCTTCCCCCAGATTAACAATGCTGCTGTCCGAAGGTGTCTATTGTGCTCTTTCATCCTAATACAGAAAGTGTGTTACAGGCCAGATTTTCAGGTAAAAAATGGAACATTTTTAAGGACTGGAGAGCTGCAATATATTACATTGTTTGGTTTCACCACTTTCCCTCCAGAGGATTTACCCCCCATCCTGACCAGGCCATTATTTGTGATAAAGCGCTGTGTTACTTTAACTGACAATTGCGCGGTCATGCAACATTGTACATAAATGACGTTTACGTCCTTTTTTTCCCACAAATCGAGCTTTCTTTTGTTGGTATTTGATCGCCTCTGCGTTTTTTATTTTTTGCGCTATCAACAAAAAAAAGACCAACAATTTTGAAAATAAAAACAACAATATCTTTGAGATTTTTGCTATAAAACATATCCAGTAAAAAAAATTGTAACCACTTGTCCTCCAGAGGATTTACCCCCCTTCCTGACCAGGTGATACGGCGCTGCGTTACTTTAACTGACAATTGCGCGGTCATGCAATGCAGCACCCAAATGAAATTTACGTCCTTTTTTCCCACAAATGCAGCTTTCTTTCAGTGGTATTTGATCGCATCTGCATATTTTTTGTGCGCTATAATCAAAAACTGACAATTTTGAATAAAAAAATATTTTTGACTTTTTACTATAAAACATATCCAGTAAAAAAATTTTAAAAAAAAATTTCGTCATAAATTTAGTTCAAAATGTATTCTGCTGCATGTCTTTGCTAAAAAAAAAAAAAAAAAAAAAACGTGTAAATGAATTTGTTTACGTGAAAGTTATAGCATCTACAAATGGCGGTATGCATACTGGAATTTTTTTTTATACTAGTAATGGTGGCGATCAGCAACTTATAGCGAGACTGCGGCAGACATTCTGACACTGGGAAGGAACTGACTAACTGCCACTGACATCCCAATGACACTAATATAGTGATCAGAGCTAATAAAAAGCACTGACACTGTACTAATGACACTGAGCAGGAAGAGGTTAACAGCTGGGTTGATCAAAGGGTTAACTGTGTGCAGAGCAATACAAAGCAGCCTGTTTGTGCTGACAGGGGAGAGACCTGCGTTGTTTACATACAGACCTCTCCCCTGCCAGCTCCGCTGACGATCACCGAGAATCCATGGCCGGGACACAGGGATTGACATGTCGAGAAGCCAAGTGCACACGTGCCCCTACCTGAAAATGCAAAATCACACACATACACATAATTTTGCACATCCCTGCAGCCCTGTATCAGTACTTTTGCTATAGGGCAGTCGGGAAGCAGTTAATATATCTGTAATCACTTCTAAAAGGATGCCAACCCTGCAGGTACTTCAGCTGATAAATAATGAAAAAGCCACTCCAATTCAGATTCGCTCTGCACATTGAATAACCAAACAGTCTTTTCTTCGGAGCAGAAACAACAAAGTGTGTTCAAAATCCTTGCAATGTACGTTGATCACCCAGAGGGGATTGTTTTTTCTTCTCAAAAAAAGTGGAGTTACCCTTTAACTGCTTCTAAATGATTTCCCCCTCTCCCGTTCTACACCAGCAGTTTTTTTTTTTTTTAAAGGGTGCATACGCAGATGCACTGCCAGTCTCTACCAGGCATTCTGGAGCCGGCAGAGACCGGAGGTGGATTCTGCATGTGTGCACAAATGCTACCGGCTTCTGGTGGATGGTCACTGTAGCGCCCCTCAGCATTTGTGCCCAGGCGCAGACATCCATCGCATTCATACCTGTGCCTCAATCTCGCAGTTTAGTAACACACTGCTTTCTGAGACAGCTGTGATGTTGTAATCCCAGGAGGCAGCGGAGATCGGCCTAGGCTGGAAACCTGAAGTGCTGCCTTGCAGCACAAAAAGAGGCACAGTGGTAAAAACACACAGAATAAATAATTTTTAGCATTTGTGAAAGTGGGAGGGACAAGCAAGACGTTTAGACTTAGTTTCGCTCTAAGCATCATAAACTGAAATCTTCTGGGCTACTTACCTTTATATACGTACATTTGCATGTGTACAGTATGTGCAGTTCCTCTTTAGCACATCAATCTTGTATATAGTAGATATGCATATGTATTATAGGTGGCATCACTGATACTAAGTGCAAAATCCCTATTCTGTGTGCTCCAGAAGAAAACCAGGAGCATGATGAAAATCTATGTATATTCAGCATAATCTTTTTCTCTTTTAGATTTTACGATTTCAGAAACAAGTGGGTGGTAGAATGTAATCATCCATTCTGGGTAAGTTTCAGGGACTTTCTTACGTACAAGTTCTCACAAGATAACTTACATAATAACTCTTCTGGCTTTTTGTGTTATAGCCGAAGAGAAATGAGAAATGGATAATGCAGATGATTGACTACAAAGTAAAACCACGCAACTTTACACTGAGAATTTCATACTATGATGAAGGCAGGCAAACAAAACATATTGTTGTGGCATGCTGGGTTACCATAAAAGTCACCAGGTTTTCTCAAGGTAAATAGGAACCCTCTCTTAAATTCAAACCACATGAGCAATATTGGCATGATTTACAGTCAGGCAACCCGTGACCTGAAACTTCTTGCTATTGGTCACTCCCTACAATTACAACCCTTACATATACCCAGGGAAGGGACTGGCCTCAGGTGATTCTCAGAGATGAAACTAAGCCTCCTGCATAAGTTGTACCCATTTCTCTGAAACCTTCTCTTCTCTACATCCATTTAGAATGCATAAAGCGTGGCTGAGTGTTCATAAAAAAGGAGGTGGAGGGATGAAATTACACTCTGCAGAGCTCAATGAGGAGAGTTCTGATTGCTGGGAAGGAACACCTCCCCCCCAACTTCAAACAGTCCACAGGAACAGAGCTGAGGTTGTCAATCTGCTTGCCACCATTTTTCTCTTGGTGTCATTTTTGGGGTGGATCAGTGTGAAAGTAGCCTAAGACACAGGCTGGAGGGGCATAACAAAGCCTGTGACTGGCAGAAATCCACCCACACCATGCCATTGCCAAAAAAATAATAAAGTTTTGATCTCAAATATATAATTGTATAAGACAATTTAAAGCAGTTTATTGATATTCATTTTATATTTTTACGCTATAGCCCAAAGGCTGCTTTTTTTTTTTTTTTTAACATGTGACCAGCAGCAGAGGACTAGAAGCTCCCCTTGCTTACGTTTCCCTGCAGACTGGGAAAGAGCTGCGTCATGTGACAGCTGTGTATTGATAAGAAAAAAGGTATTTTAATTATTTTAATTTGAAAAAAAAATCTTCGTGCCATCATTCACATACAGAAATAGAAGGGACAATGTAAATTAAACGGTATTTGTTTAGTATCACTTTAAGGCTACATACATTACATTTTGTAATTGAACACATTATTCACTGGCAACATAAAGCCTATTTTCTTTTAACAATACAGACGTACCTCAGTTTACGAACACCTTGGTTAACGTAATTGCCAGTTTACGAATGAAAATCCATTGAAAATAATGCCTTGTTTACAAATTTTTCGCAATATGAAGATTCCCCAGGATGCATTGCGCCTGGGAGGTTTATAGCATTGGCCCTGTGCCTTTAAAGTGCACTTTATAAAGAGTTTTAAGATAAGACTTTTTGTTTACTTTTTTCTGACTTCCGGAATGGATTAATTGGTTTTCAATGCATTCATGAATTTTTTTTTAATCATGTCCCTGTACAGTATTTATGCCTTTAAAGTGCACTTTATGAAGAGTTTTAACAGATAAAAGACTTTTTTTTTTACTTTTTACTGACTTCCAGAATTGATCAATTGGTTTTTTTCAATGTCCTGGAGAACGCATTAAATTCGTAAACCGAGGTACGCCTGTACAGATGTGTGAATGGACGAGATTTTTTTTTTAATCTTTCAAACTACATTTTGCAGTGACCTCATAGAAGCAAGCTACTGCAAACAGACAGTTTACATTGCTATTCAAGCCTACATAATTTTATCCTAGGTCAGTTCTGCTATTCTGTTAACAAGGTACAATGCAGTTGCAAGAAATGGTAAATCACAGAGCAAAGACGGCTATGACAAAAAAGTCAAATCCAACAGGACAGAAAAGACTTATGCATGTTTACAAAGCAATTTTCACACACAAAGGCAACTATGTTCATTTTAGCAGAATCTTTGGTGTGTTCAATTTTAGAAGAATTAAAAATATATACAAAAAAAATAATTTACAGGCAGAGATTTACTCTAGCCTGGTGTGAATCATTTAGTAAAGATGTAGAAAAAAAAAATGATGTGCAAAAATAATAGCCAATTGCACCCAGGTTTCAGAAGATCAAGGAAAGGTTCACTGTGTTTTCTTGTAATACATAATAAAATTGTAATCGCTTTGCATAGAGCTCTTTAGTAAATAGCCCCTCTTTGTAAAGGTAAAACATTGACCTATTCGGTTTCTTTTGTTAACATCAGTGTTTCTCATTAAGAGAAACATGAAAAAAAGCCAACTGTACAGTGATGTAAAATAATTCTAAATATGCCCCTAAGATGTATATAAAGTCCTCCACCTCTATTATTCTGCTGTTTTGTAGATCCATTAACAGTTCGAACACATGTGCAATTTAGAAGACATAAGTGTTTCCCCGTAAAGTGTTTTGCCTGTCACTTTGCTTGATGAAATGAAGAATGTATGTGAGGGAGATACGTGTTTAGCATCAATGCTGATGAAATAAGAGACACGTACAAACAATCACAAGCTGTTGACATGTACCACGCCAACACGCAGAAAATACACACTACAAAGACGACATGACAAGTTTAGACAAGTATCACAAACTAAAGCACTTTACAAAAGTTGCTTCGTGAACAAAAAATTGTGTAAAGAGAAAAAAAAAAAACGAAAAGAAAAACAGACCGTGTACTATAGAGGATAAACAGCCTTCTTCCTATACACCTACAGTATGTAACAGGAACACCAAGCATATGCTTCTTCATTTTTTTTTTATTTGAAATTCATGCCCAGTTGCACACTGCCTGCCTGAAGATGAGGGGGCGGCTAGGGCTGCGTGGGAGAAAGCCACAGCAAGCTGCCACATACTCTCACAGAGCTGGATTCTGCATTTGGAAAAGAACAATTAGGTTTTCTGGGAACATCAGAAGGAGAAAATCGAAAACCAAACAACAGGACCTTATCGGAGTGGTCACCGAATCATCCTGTTAAGTGTAAACATCATTCGGTGCCTATATCGTCAATCATACCTAAACACATTATGCAATGTATAAAAGTGTACAGGCAGAAAGAGCTCCAGCAGATCTCCGGTATATAAAGCACCATTTATTCTATTGTATAGTTCTGTACAGCATACAAAATAATCAATTTGAGAAAGTAAATGGTGTTTGTAAGCTCTCTTTGTTGTTTTCTTAATTTTTTTTTTTTACATTGAATTTTATTAGTTTAGTTTGTTGGTCAAGCCAGAAGAGACATAAAGACAACACTTTTGCTTCCAAGTGATTTTCAATGTGTAGAAGATAATAAAATATTTTTTATAAAAAGCATCACTTGCTTTTAGCAATCTTTTGGCCAGCCTTTTTACAGACTGCAGTAAGAGGCATAGGTACATCAAGAAGACATGTCTTCTTTGCTTGTCTTTGCTAAA